GAGAGAGACCTGCTCGTCATTTTGCTGGCGGCCATATCCGCAATCTTGAAGAAATTGTGTATGTCATATAAGTTGTAATTAAGTTCTGTGTCTGCTTGTATCGTGTATCTTGCTGTTGCACCTTCAATTTCTATCCGGATTGGCCAGATCATTGCATGTTGTTGTGACTAATTGATTATTCGAAGAGGAAGGGATAGAAGATGAGGTGAAGAAGAAGAGAGAGGGAAGACACTGATTTCAACTTGTTTAATTCTTCTTCTTCTATCCTCTTCATTCTCTGTTTCCACTTCTTCTTTTGAGTTCAGCAAGTCATGCATTTTCTCTCATTGGAGTTTTGCATTATCGATGGAGTAGGATCACAACACAAAACAGACTACCAGGTATGGTGGACGCTCTAGATCCTGTATGTATTTGCAACCTCTGTCCCTTGAATAAGAACATGCTAATATCACCACCCCTACCAACTTTCTTTTTCAAGCCCAGCCCTGAAACAAAGGGGACATACAAACTTCAGTCAGCAGCCTCAGTCTATCAATGCCATAACATCCATGTGAAGGTAGAGCTGCACGGCAAGCAGCAAAACAACATAAAGTATGGCTGCATGGAAGACCCGCGAGAAAGAGAGAGAGCGACGACATGAACATGTTGGAAGAACCCTCGGGGGAGAGCAGCACTTAACTGACTAGGCAGGTATAGCGAACTTGAAGATCGAGGCCAGTGACGAGCACCAGACCATGTCTGAAGGCTGCCACAACCACAATTGACCTCGGTAGGAGAATCAGCAGAGCACATCCATAGGATAGGGTAGATTTGAGGGGGCTGTTACATGCATTCAGGGGATATAGCCAGCCCAAAAACTGAGGTATTCAGGAGTTTCATGAGACTTCAGTCCTTACAGGCGTGAAACTGCTGGGCATGGTAATCACGTCTCTATTGCGTTTGTGATGTTCCAAACCTCGGCCCTTTGGGTGTGAAAGTGAGTGTGGTAATCATGCTTCCACTTGGTTTGTGATGTTCCAACTGACTTGCGTATGGTGCATTCAAAGTCTGTTGTGGACGTGAGATGGGCAAAGATTGTGTGGCGAGCTTAAAACGTTGGATCCCTTGGACATGCGTGTGTTTATGATAGCACACTCATGAAAGTGAAGCCTTGTGTGTTCTTCTGCCAGCTTGTCGTTTCCTTACCTCTTCCTGACCAAGAGGTGGTGGCCTTGGTTTCGCCCAAACAAGAGCAGGTGACTCCTCCTGTGACATAACAATCGATTAGGCATCAGGGAGACTGTCAGTTCCACTATCAGCTCACTCATCTAGAGATCCAAAATTATGTTATGTGCTGTTTGCCCAATTTAAAGTTCCCGTCAACAGTGAACCAGGATCCCAGACACTCGCCTGCAACACAAAATACACGCCCTTGCTAATGAAGCATTGTGGCCCGGTAAACAGTCAATCAGGTGTCAGATCAGCAGCCACACAAATTGTCAACAATACAGAAGCGCAATCCCCCTAGTTCATGAGCCCCTGTCAGTTCACCATCAATAGATCGCCAGCGTGATAGAAAAACGTCTTTGCCTTAAGTTCAATAAAAAATAAACCCATGTCGAGTAATTTAATTCAGTTACGGTCCTGTGGCAACATTACAGAAAGTGCTACTCCCTTGTGGCTGAATGGTAACAGAATGAATTTGAATCTTGATGGATACAATACTCTTAGACCTAGGGCATTTAAGGCTGGCGTGAGCAAGCTGAAAGGAAGTCTGGGCGCAGCTTCTCCAACTAACCAGCAGGCCCAGCCTCCAGAATAGTTGCGGAGCTGGGGCCCTACCGTCTTCACCCGAATAGAATGCCCGGTCTTTATAGCTGTACGTAGACTGAATGTTGCCTCAAATACAGCTATAATGACCGGGCGTTCTATTCGGGTGAAGACGGTAGTACTCAGTGCAGAAGGTTCTCAGTCTGGGAAGAGCCCAGTTCCAGTTAGTCAGTCAGGCCTCCAGGAAGTAATTCCACACATTCGGAGGCACTGGCTCGCTTGCTCTGGGGAGAGAGTGCCCGCAGCCGAGCCAGCACTGATTGACGAAGAATGGGAGGAGCAGCGACAGGTTAGCTGCTCAGCTCAGTGGCAGCCATAACTGCGCTGAAGCCGAAGAAGGGTGACACTGGGGCTGGGGTGATCAGGGGAGAAGAACAGCAGGGAGATCAGACGGACCTACCCGGCGATGGCCAAAGAGCACACTCGTGGTGGTCGGGCTCTGCAGCATTGTTAGCCGAGAGGAGACTGGGTAGAGAGAGAAGGGAGTGCGAGGGAGAGAAGTGGGCTGTGTATATAGAGAGAGAAGGAGAGTAATGTAGGCTGTCACATCATAGTAGAGCTACTACATTGCCATTTGATTGATAAATGGCGGAGAGAAGTTGGTCTTTCTTTATCAAGAGACTTCAGCATCGGTGTGTTCTCATTTGGTGTCATCTCGACTTTGTAATTACGCTTTTGAATTTGCTCATATATGCTTGTTCTGCTTTAGGTCTTCTGCTGTGTTCCCATTGGTCAAGTGGAACGTTGCAGATGTCCACAAAGACGCACACAACTTATTTCATGCATGGAGCATGCATGAAAGACAGTTAAGGACACCTGGAATGACGAACTCATTCCGGGGACCAAGGACCATAGCCTGTCAATGCTTTATCCAGCATTTGTCAATAAGTCCTTGCAATTGCTTGCATAATCTGACAAATTACCAAGGAGACATGCTAGAGATTGGTCCCTTCCGAATCCCTCTACCAGGTAGGATATCAATGGTATGCTTAATGGTTCTTTCAGTTACCCTGGTAGGTTCCTCCTGCAAGTCTTTTGACATTGTTAGTAGCTTATCTATAGGAGTGCAAGGTTCTTCTGTAGCTCTAGGCCTAACTACAACCATTCAAAATTCTTCTTATTATTATTTACTAGGAAGCTGTGAAAAGCAGGCAATCTCATACACCAGAAAGACAACGATGAGCCTAGTTTATTTTTTGGACCATTTCTCGATTTGTGTGTGTCATCCTTGCACAGGGGCCATGCTAATCTTCTCTGCATAGTTCCAATTTAAACAGATGCCCCGAAGGACGACAACCATGAGTTCTAACTAGACTTGAGATAAATCTTTGCAGGTTCCTACTCACTTTGGCTGTCCTTGAGTTTGAGTATTCTTTCTTTGAACTTGACGTCTGGCTCGCCGTCAAGTTGAAGGGTTGGTTCTTTTTCACAAGAATATATCAAGTCAGATATTTTGTCCTCCCTCCAAGCGTAAATAAGCAGATCTAAATAAGGATATTTTGTTCTCCTCTCGGTTCGCATAGTGAGCGAATGTAATGGTGTTTTTGTCAGCTAACACCAAGGTTATAGCCGTATAGGTGAAGATAGTTCTATCTCCTTCATTCCCAGATGCAACTTGTGAATTGCTTTGAGACGTATGATCTTGGCGAGCCCTCGTCTGCTAACCCACCAACTTCAGTTCTGTTGATCTCCGCATCCACTATCATCACTTCAGTGCCAAGCTCATCAAGGGTCTCATCCAATTAAACGAAACACAAGAACGGTTCAGGGCGGTTTAGAATGAGGGGTCAAAGAAGAGCTTGAGAGTCAGAGGAGGGTCTTGGTGCCAATTGATCCACACTCTCAGGCTCAGTAGAAGCAAATGCAACTTCTACAGGCTGCTCCCTTTCGGTTCGCCGATAATGGGACAACATGCAATGATGTATCCCTCAGTGCCACATTTAGGACACTGTCCTGCCATACTTCCAGGGTAGGGTTCCCATGAAGCTATGCCATGACGTAATCATGCTCACAGCCATACACAATTTCGCTTCCTTGCCATATGAGTTCTGGTTGGCTCCAGCAGGGCCTCAACATACATGTGAAGCAGGTCGTCCATCTTTTGGGTCAGACTTCCCACACCTCCTGCTGGTCATGAGACCACTCCCAATACTTGGATGTGTCTATCACCCTCCATGCCATCCCACTATCAGCACAGCTGCAGGTCTTCTTGCACCACCCGCCTCAACTTCCCCCCCTCAACGTCCTCCAAGTAGTTGCCTCCGCCTCTGCCAGCCCCAACCACCCACTGTATCGTGTGGCCACCTCCTCCATCATCGCCTCCATGCCAAGGTTCAAGTGGGCATACGCGAGCTTCTCCGTGCGGTGGTGGTGGTGAATTGGTCAGATTCATCGTCTGAACGAGCCCTCGGTGCTCCTGCTCCTCTAAGCAGGAGTAACCATACACTCATAGTCAACCGCTCTAGGTGGCCAACTCCACGTGCCTCCTAACCTGCTGAAGGCCAAAGCATTCTCCACGCAGAACTCCATTGCCGCCGCCTCCATCTCTTTCTGAAGCAGGTTGTGGACAAAGGGGCAAATGATTTTCTGCCTCATCCGCTTCCCTGCTCCTGCTGCAGTGGCTGCAACGAGGGCGCCTACAGCCCCTGCTCTGCACCACATGCTTCAGTGACACCAGGCTCGCTGCCCCCTACCCCCCCACCATCAACCTCCCTCAATAGCTCCCGACCCGCAATTGCAGCCTCAATCCTCCCACAACAACCCCCCTCTAAATCAACATCCTCGAATTTTTCCAATTATCACCGGCAGAAGTGGCAGTGCCACCATCAACTTTACGTGCAGCCTAGATCTCATGCCCCTGCTGACAGTCAGTCAAATCACGGAGCATTTTCATCCCCATCTCTGCCAGATGGCAATGCCTTCCTCCATGCAACATGCTGACGCCTTGGGCATAGTACAATACGCAAGCATGGAGCTGCCAATCCTTGGACTTGAGCAACTAGAGGCTGCACCTCAACCAGGGCCAGCAAATATCTTCTGCTATCTGACCCACAACCACACACGATGCTGCCCCTGGCTGCCGTCACCATGCAGCCCCAATCCTCCCACAGCACCCCCCCTCTAAATCAACATCCTCGAATTTTTCCGATTCTCACCGGCAGAAGTGGCAGTGCCACCATCAACTTTACGTGCAGCCTAGATCTCATCCCCCTGCTGACAGTCAGTCAAATCACTGAGCATTTTCATCCCCACATTGCACCATCTCTGCCAGATGGCAATGCCTTCCTCCGTGCAACATGCTGACGCCTTGGGCATAGTACAATACGCAAGCATGGAGCTGCCAACCCTTGGACTTGAGCAACTAGAGGCTGCACCTCAACCAGGGCCAGCAAGTATCTTCTGCTATCTTACCCACAACCACACACAATGCTGCCCCTGGTTGCCGTCACCATCAAGTCCTCCAGAAAGGGGTCCCCCTCATGTCAAGCCTGCATGCCACACCTCACCCCTGCGCCGTTGGCTACTCGCAATGACTGTGCCAACCTTACAGCCCCTGGATGATGGTCAATGGGATGGGATGGATATTAGAGGAGAGAAAGGTAGGTAGTGGACGGCGGAGTGGTCCTGCTAATGCGGAAAGGCTGTTGACAGGGAAGCCTGCTGCTGTGGCAGATCCGCTGATGGCATCACGGCCTGCTGATGTGGCAACTTCCCCCATACCTAATTGTGGAAGTGTCAGGCCGCTGAAGGGGCTCGCAGTAGAAGGACATTGCTGACAAGGAAAGTAGTTGACAACAATCTCTCTCTCTCTCTCTCTCTCTCTCTCTCTCTCTCTCTCTCTCTCTCTCTCTCTCTC